AGACCCTGAACACCCCGTAGACCCTTCTCTAAAATAAAATTTAAAAAAAAGAACTCTGATTTATCATTAAGTTAAGGCCAACTTGTACAATCATCTGAGAATATTCCATTGAATAGCTTCACTGAATGTTGATATGTGAGAAACCAAGAGAAAAACACCAAAAGAGAGAAAATTGATGCAAATGTTCATTATTAACTGTGCAACAAACAGTTGTTGTTGTTGTTGTTGTTGTTGTTGTTGTTGTTCTTCTTCTTCTTCTTCTTCTTCTTCTTCTTCTTCTTCTTCTTCTTCTTCTTCTTCTTCTTCTTCTTCTTCTTCTTCTTCTTCTTTTATCGGTACTAGGAATTGAACTCATGACCTTGTGCTTGCCAGGCAAGTGGCTATTCTACTGAGCTCTCTCCCCAACCCAACGAACAGTTCTGTTGTCCACTAGTAGAGGTTATTTTTTTAAAGAATTCTATCCATTTAAGTAGAATTTTTGCATCATATTAACATGTCTAAATACTATTTTAAGTATAGATTTTAGGTATATGTTAGGCAATATGATTTTGTTAAGTATCAGAAAATAATGACTTTCTTACAAGCATTGAAAGTTGAGAAACTGAAGAACATTTCAAAATCAAATTATAAATGCTTTTACATAATAATAAATTCAACAATCTGAATTACTTTTCATAGAAAAATCACATCATAATCCATCAGCAAGATGAAATGTGATAGCTGCCTCATTTGTATCGAAATACAATTTATTTACCTTACAAAACAATTTTATCTCTTCCCATTGTTGTGATTGTGTGCTTTTTCCAAGCTATTGCTATTGTGAAAGGCCTCAAATATAAAACTTCACTGTTACTATAATGAAAAAAATTATCAAAGCAAGATGAAGGAAAAAGGAACAAAGTACTACATGCATTAGTGTATTACACATTAAAAAAATTTATTTTAGATATATACTAAGTAGATGGCACTGAGAAGATAAAATTTAGGAACCATGCAGCTCTAAAAATAAATAAAATAGATTTCTAAGACATAAAAATGTACTATTTTGAATTTCGTAAGAATTTATAGAAAATTACTGATAATACTTCCCAGAATTCTGACTAATATAAGTTTGCATTTTTTTAAATTTTTATTGGATACAGGGCCAGCGTGGTGCTTAGAACACTGAGTTATGTTCCTGTAAATTTGTGCTTTTAATTACAAATAAATTAACACAGCACAAGGACAGCAACACTAGCAAACAAATAACAGAGAAGCAGAGTTCCATGAAAGCAAGAGCTACATGGTAAGTAAGGCCTAGCAAAGAGCATGAGACAAAGAAATCAACAACCGAAGTATAAAATGAAACAAGGAGGACAGATAAGACAGCAAGGACCCTGAGACATAGTTCTGTATGCAAAAACCCTGTGCGCTGTGTGAAAAATTATTGTTTGTATTTTTCTTTGACAGAATACTAAGTCCTGGTAGAAACATAGTAGTTCATTTCAGCTTTAATAAACACCAGTGACTGAATAATTGTTCACTTCTCAATGCCTGATCCATCAATAAGCAAAACATCAAAACATTGCTGTATAGCTGGTTGAATGAACTCCTAAAAAATCCAGAGGTTAAATGTTTTTCCTATGCACTCCAAAGGGATTTCTGTGGACAGTTTCTTTAAAATGTGTACATATATTAAAATGTTTTAGGCTTGCTTGATAGAATTTTAATGAAAATTTCTCAATCTAATTTCCCTTTTACCTCTTCTCTTCTATTTCCGTAGTATTTGTTGAGGTATTTGTGGGGAAAATCATCACTGCAAAACTGAACTATTAGCATTTGTTTCAGTGAGTGCCTGGGAAGGAAGTTAACCTCCAACCCTGCAGAGTAAAGATGTCAGGAATTGAGACCTTCCAGGTAGAGGCCAAGAAATTAAAGCAATGATAGCCAAAGCTTTAAAAAAGAGACAAGAGACTTCACAGAACTGATTTAAAAACAGACAGTCTCCAACTCTCTGGAAAGTGACACCTGTCTCACGTGAATGACTAAAACACAAAACAAACAAGATGAGGCCTTCCTTCCTAGGAAAATTTGCAAATGGCTTAGGGGGAAAAATAAATGTTAGAAAAAAAAAAAAAAAAAAAGCCCAAGACTCTCAACTACTTAAGAGCAATATTTAAAATGGGGTAGGGTCACACATAACTATATCATTCAACTTAATTTTTTAACAGGAAATGCATTAATCAGTATGCAAATTATATGATCCAGGATGGTAAGCTGATAGGTTTCTTTTAGGTAGAAGAAAATATTCTCATATTAGTGGTGATGAGTACGTGATATTGTGAACACAGAAGAGGGAACTGAGGTACATAATTTAAAGGAGTGAATTTTATGATATTTGAGTTTTATTACAAAAGATATTCTATAAAAATTATGATCAATCTAACATTTGTCTTCTAAGATATCTTTAGAGACAATCTTCATCATGCATTTTATTTTTCCTCCCTAACTGTACTCCTTTCCACAGCTGGTATGTACAGAATGAACTCAGATTTGATTTAAAATTCACAAATTATGATTTAAAAAGTGCTGCTATTGGTACCATTGAGACAAATGGCTTTATATAGCCCATGACTGTATTGAAGGGGGAAAATAATAGTTTTTAGATGGTCTTTTTTCTTTCCTTTTTTTCTTTTTTTTTCTTTCTTTTCTTTTTTTTAGAATGACAATCAAACTCACCTCATGCTTGCCAGGCAGGTACTGTTCTGCAGGGCTGTATCCATGACTCTTAGTCTTCTTTCTTAAATTGTATTTTATTTTCTTTATTTTATCTTATTTCATTTTATTTTATATATTTTATATATCTTATATTTTGGACATCTTTTAATCTGTTTCTATGCATAAACATACATGCCATTTGAAGTATATACCTAATAATAATTCTGGTGCCCTCCTTGGGTCATTCCCTCTTTAGGAATCCTCATTTCTTGGAAGTAAACTGCTTTATTTCCAGCATGTTCAGGTTGTTGATTAAAAGGATTCATGGTGGAAAGTTATGAAATTTGGTTTATTAACTCCTGCACAAGTGCTGCTCTCTAACCTCATCTGAGCGTCTGCTGCTGCTTGGAAATTTTTTCATTAAGGTTGAGTTGGCTCCTCAGCACCCCTTCCATAGCGCTCACTTCCCAGCTTCTCAAGTCTCCTGTCCTTTCAACATGACTTCACCTATTCACTCAACAGCAGTGAGCACCTTCTCCTTCTTCTTTTCCTTCAACAGAAGAAGGATGGCACCTTGCTCTGCATTCAAATTTTCTTTGCCCGTTTTTTCCTTCCATCCACCTCAGAATACAAAAGTCCTTTTTATCATTTATAAAGAAAATACCTTTTTTACTGAAAATAAACCTACCTGACTTAGTATACTACTCATCTGCCAAGATCTAGCTTGAAAGTAGGATAGAAGGCCTTGGTTTTCTCATCTGTGAAATGAGTATCGTGTACTTAATGAACTGTAAAGCTGATGTCAAGACTGAACAAGGTGCTCTTGGTCTCGTGTTTAGTCAGAGACTTTCATTTAGCCCCTAGAACAGTGGTGACTAACCTTTTAGAGCTTTCAAAGATAACAGGCAGCCAACTGTAGCACACAGGCATAGGCTCACCAGCCCTGCCCAGGCTCTATCCCTTTTCTTCAGCCTATATACACAAAACAGAAATGGGGCACTTGATATTTTCCTCTCCAGCAATTTCTTATCATCTTGATCCTTCATACCGTACACATACTTAAGACTCCATCTTTTGGATCTTGCTACACAGTTCAGACTCATAGTGATTCTCCTGTGTCAGCTTCCCCAGCGCTAGGATTTATAGGCATGCACTACCATGCTGGGGTCTGGGGCCTGCACAGCACTGAGTACCAGGGATTGAACCCAGGTCTCTGCACTTGCGAGGCAGGTACTTATGCCACTGAATTATCTCCCCAGCCCCAAGACTCCATCTTTTAAAATCCTTCCCCATTATTGTAATCACCTAAACTAATGCTATCATTGTTTTATAGCCAAATTATTTCATGGAATAGACATATCTGAAGTCTTCACTTTCTTACTATTAATTTATTTGTTCTTGCCTTCCAAAGTGGCTTCTCCTTCCAGAACTTTCTAAAATAGCTGCTGCAAAGGTCAAGGGAACTGTCCTTAGAATGCATGCTGCCTCTACCTTGGACATCAATACCCGCTGATTGTGAAAGAACTGAAATCTAATCCTCACTTTCCTTAACAATGTTGCAGTTTTTTCTGAGGCTCTGTTACCTCTTCTCCTCTACCTTCATTTTCATTCTCTGTCTCTGTCCTAAATGTGGGCATTTATCAGAGTTCCATCTCATTCTTCTTTCTACTTTCTTGTATTGAAACTTCTATTCATTCTCAGGGTCTCAAATGCTATATTTATGTATGTCACAAAAGCATTTTCAACTGAACTCCTTTCCAGGGTGCTGGACAGCTGTGTACGCATGTCTCACCAATTTAATGTCAAATTGGAACTACAACTTGCAACTATACCTACTCTAAGCCCATGTAGAACAAAGAACAGAAGAAAATCAAGCTTTTCTTGCTCATACGTTTCTTTTTTTGAGGGAATGAAAAGTTTTCTAATGAGTAGGATTGAAATTATAAGCTGAGGAAGGAACACCGTGCTGGGAAATGCACCGCACTGTGATAGGCAGACAGCTGTCTATATAGCTCGCTAGCTCTGCATAGGAAAACACCTCAAGGCCCTGAAAAATAATGAAATTATCATCCTTCCAACTATTCAGTTGAAAAGTAGAAAAATATGCTGTGTTCAAAGAGCAACTTATTGAATTTCAAGAATTTTTTCTTTTTATGTCAACAAAAATATAACCAGACATCGGATATTACAATTTCTTTTCTAGTTCACTTCGCCGAGTTCTGTAGTAACAGAAAATGCAAAGCTTGCGTTTCGATTAGGTTCACAGAAGGCGAAGGGGTGAAAGGTAGCAACGGGCCACTCACACTTTGTCCGTGCCGTAGCTCCTGTAGTCCACCGCGGCTGACACGGCCACGATGAGCGCCGGCATCCCGTAGCCCACCAGGTAGAAGTACTTCCTGCGGGAGTGCTCGCTCTCGAACACCTCCACCAGCATGATGTAGAGCTGCACGCCCTCCAGGAACATCCACGTGAAGGCGGCCAAGAAGAAGAAGTGCAGCAGGGCTGCGAAGACGGCGCAGGCGATCTAGGGCAAGGACAAAGCACCCAGTCAAAGGCCCGGCCCACGGACTGCTTCTCCATGGCACAAAACGAAGATCAACGGGCATCAGTACCACAACAGAAAAGAGATTTCAAGGCAGCACTGAGCGAGGGTTCTTACAGTACAGATATCAAACCTACACAAATGCAACCTATTTTTAAAAGTTTAGAGAACATCAATAATGGTTGTTGGATGAGAGCACACTATGAGAATAAGGAAAAATTATGACACATTAGGAACAAAGTCTATTGAGTACTAATGGATTCTTAACACAGCTTAATTCAAAGTCTTAAATTCTCTCCCTCTCTCTCATTGCTGGGAATTGAACCCTGGACTTTGCACATGCCAGGCAAGCACTGTGCCATGGAGCTATATCCCCCACCTCTAAATTCTTCCATTGCAAATGAAAGAGCAATATTAAAATGGAGAGGAATAAAACTTATTAAAATTGAATTATAGTAATGTTAATGACAATTTGAGGTTACAAATTAGTAATAATTGATTGTCTATTTCTTGCTTATCTTACTTCAGAAAAAAAATTTAGGTGACAGAAATTTTAGTCTGCTTAAATGTAAAAATGGACATAGTTAAAAGGTTCGAGGAGTGTCCTTTTCTTCTTTTTTTTTAATGGTCTGGAAAAATTTGATTGAAAAAGGACAACTTTCCATTTATAAAAGAAATAGCCAGTGGTGGTGCATGCCTGTCATCCTTCCACTCCAGGAGGCTGAGCCATGAGGATTACAAATTTCAGTTTGGACTATTTAGCATAACTCTGTCTCAAGATTTTAAGAAATAAGGGGCGAGGATATAGCTCAGTAGAATAAGTGCTTGCCTGGCAAGTACAGGGTCCTAAGTTCAAGCCCTGATACTGAAGAAAAAAAGAGAGAGAGAGATTTTAAGAAATGAAGCAACAGCAACAACAATGAATGGGAGATGTAGCTCAGTGTAAATGCCCTGGAGTTCAAGCCCCAGTAGCACAAGGCACTATAAGTTTCAGCCAATCATCTATCGACTTCCCATTCTTATTTCAGTTCCTAAAATTCTCATTCCTATATATGCTCCTTTTTAGAGGAACTCCTGACAAAGAAAATCGTTAGCTCCTATGAGAAAATGTCAAAAGCTTACAAAGATGGTCAGAGTATGGATTTACTGGTAAGACCCCTGAGAAATGAGTCAAATGCAAGTCATTTTCAGTGGGTTAGAAAGCGGATAATGGAGGAGACATGAGGAACTCAGATGTCTGAGACATGGGAGAGATTTAGGTCTTAAAGATAGCAGAACTAGTAACAGAAGAAAAGACAAGTTCAGACAACTTGTATTCTACCTGTGCTTTTCCATATCAATTGTTATTCTTTATGTTTCTTGTCAGAAATTATTTTATGGAATAGTCAATGTTTAGTGAAGTTGACAACACCATGTGTAAGATCAGGAAAAGAAAATAAAGATTTCTAAGTGAAAAGAAATCACATAGTATTTAAATCAAGAATAAATTATATATTCTAGGAAAATAATGTAACTTTTCATTTACTGCTTTGTCAAGTTGGAACTTAAACTATTAGTTTTTATTATGATACGACTTTACTTTTGGGGGAAGAAATGTGTACTTTGATTGCTTATTCATTTACATGAATTTATAGGAAAAACTGTCACATAAGTATATAATAACCACTTAAAATACATTCACCATAATTGTATCCATTACAGTCATTAATCATGAACACATAATCACAGGCATGCATATAGCCGCACTTTAGTATAAAGCTCTCCATATGCCTGGACACAAACTGGAGTGCAACATTAAGTCAGTGGAGTCTTTTATGCACTGAAGTCTTCTACAAAACAGAATTTTCTATTGCTTTCCAGTTTAATCACAAGAACAAATTTATACAATGTACATGAATTGTAAGTGAGTGGAAAGATCCCCATAACAATTAGGAACGGGCACAAAGCCAGTCTTATACATTAAATTATATTTATATATTCTGTTCAGTTTTACCAAAACCAATTGGCGAGTGTTGTTCTAGTTTTTCTTTCCCTGTCTTTTTTCCTCTCTCCTTCCTTTCCTCATTTCTCCTCCTCTATCTTTCCTTCTCTTTTCCTCTCTTGACCTTAGTATGAGCAGTAGCAAAGAATGAAGGTGGAACCTTGAAATGAGACAGAAATAAACAGTGCCACAGGAAATGCAGGGAGTGTGTGTATGTTCTGAAACAGACTTGCAGTTTAGACTGTTTTCTGAAATATAACAATCAAAAAAATTGACATTCAGATTATAAACTATTTTTGACAAGCAGATAGATTTAGAAGTACATTATAATTCTCAAAATATAACAATTATACTTACTACAAATGGCTTATTGCTATTCTCTAAATGATCCTTTTAAAATGTCCCCAATATTGAAATCTAAAAATTAAAAATTAATAAAAATATAATGAAACCTGAGCATTATGGTCCCTGCCTGTAGTCCCAGAACTCTGGGAGGCTGAAGTACAACTGTGATGCTGATAGCCTGGGCTACTGAATGACTTATGGATGGTCTGCTTCAAGTATAATAAAAATCAGCAAGGGTTGGGGTTGTAGTTTACTATGAGACGCTTAGTTCCATCCCACTAACATACACATAAATAGAATGAGAATGAAAAATATGAAGTTCTGCAGAAAGATAGGACTGTGAAACAGAATTTCTGAAGAAATATCCAGCTCCTTGATTGCTGATGAGAACACACCCACGCAGAGGTGTTTATTGCATCTTTATCCATAAATGCCAGAGTCAGAAGCAGCCCAGAAACCCGTCCATCATTAGGATAATGGGTAAATGGAGTGACCTATTATACCCTGCGAGACTATTCGGTGCTTTAAAAAAAGACAAAGAGAAAATTTAAATATATATGTTTAAGAAGCCAATTTGAAAAAGCTATATTCTACATAATTCCAACCAAACCCATTTTTGAAAAGGCAAAAATGTGGAGAGAGAAAAAAAACCAAAACCCCTCCATGATTGAAATGGCTCAGAATGGAGAAGGAATGACTCGGAGTGCAGAGAATTGCCAGGCACAGTGTTAT